TAGGGCATGGGCGAAACTGGTAACTCCGGTGGAGGCCAGTTGAATTCACCAAGCATGATGTCAGCCATTATTATACAAGGCAACGAACTAAAGGCAACACTCGCAACGCAGATCACAGAGTTAAACACACAAATGATAAATCTCCAGTTGCGAGTCGCTGAAGTAAGCGAAGCACAGGGATCCGGGAACTTATCAGGAGGCAATAGCTCCACTCCACAACTAGCCAGGGGACGAGAACCAACAGCAAATGGTCATAGTACCAGACATAGGAATCACGACGGGACAGGCTTCAGGGGATCCGCCTACTCCGAATGAACGAGAGAGGGGAGAGACTACTAGTATGCGGGAAGTTTCACAGCTAATTAGTCGATCAGCTGGAAACCAAAACGCCAGACTCGACAAGTGGAATCTCAAGCTTGATGGCACTGCCAGGGGTATGTCCGTGGAGAGTTTTCTGTTTCGGGTGGAAAGGATGAAGGATTTATACGGGTGCACGGAGGAAAAGGTGTTTAGAGAGTTTCATGTGTTACTCACAGGCCCCGCCTTAAAGTGGTATTGGCAACTGTTAGAAGACAAAGCTGATGAGTACGAATTCGGCTACTTTTCGCTGACACGAGAAATGACCAGGGCGTTCTCAGCCTCGGAAAACGATTATGTTACCATCAAAGATCTGGTGGAGCGGCACCAGGGGTATAATGAGAGTTTGGACGATTACATCTCGGCAATGCACAATCTGCATTTTAAGATGCGAAGGAAAATTCCGGAATCAGACCTGGTGGAGATTTTGAAAGAGAATTTGAACTCCCAACTCGGAGCATTTATGTTGCCTTCTCCAATAGATTCGTTAGCAGAGTTCAAAAAGAAGGGAAGGCGGTTAGAGAAGTGGATAAGAGATAAGAGAGCACGGCCGCGACACGTCAACGAGATTTTCAACGAGTCGGAAGAAGACAGCGAATCAGAAGAGTACCAACTTGAGGCGTTCCAAAAAGACCGGCGATCACAGGGAGCGAAGGCGGAAAAACCGAGCAGGATGAACCCATTCCGGCAAAACGCAAACAAAAAAGGTTTCGCAGGATGGAACGGACCAGAAGCAGAAGGAGAGTGCTCATCCCCGTTTCACACATACTTGTGTTACACGTGCAACAAGCCGGCCGATTTCTATCGCCACCGTAACCAAGCGGACGGGACAGGATGCCAAGCCCGGTTCCATGACACACAGTGTCATTACTGTGGCAAAAGTGACTCGTATCACTCAACGCAGGCTCCTTTTTTATCGAAAGGTCTGACCAGGGACGCAGGGGAGCCCGGTCAGAAAAACGAGACCCAGAAGCAATAAAGAACACGATAGCGAGCCCGGCGCAGATTTCTCCGCATAAATCATTTCAGCAGCGGAAGACGGAGTATGAGGCGGCTCGCGCACGAATCTTTAACCCGGACGATAAAAAAAAGGACGAGAGACAGCACCGGAAGGACAAGAAGCTTCAGCACCTACATCATTCTATGGATACCACACGGGAATTTAGGAAAAAATTAGTGGCTTCCATTGTCAGCCTAAAAAACGACAACCGCTTGTTTGCCAAGACTAGAGTAGACGGCGAGGAGATAGTCGCGTTACTAGACACCGGAGCAAGCGCCAACTGCATTGGAAAAGGAGCGGAGGTGTTTTTGCGAGGGCGAGAACAGAAAGTGAAAAAGCTAACAAAGCAGAACGTCCAAACCGCTAGCGGGGGAAAAACCCAGGTTACGGGCATGATCACCTTACCAGTAGAATGGCAAGAAGAAACGAAAGAACTAGAGTTCTTGATAGTGCCAGCCTTACAGCAATCGTTTTATTTTGTGATTGAGTTCTGGGAGGAGTTTGGGCTTCCGCTACCAGGACAACGCTATGTGCGGGTAGCCGAGGTAGATCCAGTGCCACCCATAGAAGAAGACAAGCCGGCACGGCAGGAGACCGCATACACTCCGCATAAACTCTCGATAGAACAAGTAACCATCTTAAACCAACTGGTGGCAACCTTTCCATCATGTTCAGACATGGGCTTAGGGAAGACTGGTTTAGAAGAGCATGTCATATAAGTTACCCAGGAAAACCTGCCGATTAAGCAAAGGCACTATCCCATCTCGCCAGCAAAACAACAGCTGGTGTTTGCCGAACTTGATCGAATGCTAAGTTTGGGAGTGATTGAGGAAAGTAACAGTAGCTGGAGCTCCCCAGTCACCTTGGTGCAGAAAGGCACGAAAAACCGTCTTTGCTTAGATGCCCGCAAAGTAAATTCCCGGACTATAAAAAATGCGTATCCCTTACCACACATTGAGGGCTTATTGAGTCGGCTGCAAGAAACATATTATATTTCGGCAATAGATTTGAAAGACGCCTTCTGGCAAATACCCTTAGAAGCCAAGAGCAGGGAGAAGACAGCTTTTACCGTGCCAGGTCGGCCGTTGTATCAGTTTACGGTTATGCCATTTGGCTTATGCAATGCAGCACAGAGAATGTGCCGACTAATGGACAAAGTTATTCCAGCTGCACTTCGGGAGAATGTATTTGTATATCTGGACGATCTGCTGGTATGTTCGCCTACTATTGAGGCACATTTAAATATGTTGCGGCAGGTCAGTGACTGCTTAAGAAGGGCAAAGCTGACGATTAACGTGGATAAAAGTAAATTCTGCTACAGCCAAGCTAAATATCTAGGGTATAATGTAGGCGGAGGTTGCATAAAACAGACCAGACAAAAATACAGGCGATTCAAGAGTTTCCGCAGCCCACTTCCGCCAAGCAAATGCGGAGATTTTTGGGTATGACAGGATGGTATCGGCGTTTTATTCAGAATTACTCACAAACGGCGGCGCCGCTCCATGAGAGTCTAAAAAAAGATCGGATTAAGAAATATGAACTTGACCAAGAAGGAGTGAAAGCATTTGAGGCTCTGAAAACCAGCATGGTTTCCGCGCCAGTACTAATAGCCCCGAATTTCTCCAAACCCTTCACAATTCAATGCGACGCATCCACAACGGGGGTAGCAGGCGTGTTATTTCAAACCGACGAGGACGGCGGAGAACATCCAATCGCATACATGTCTGCAAAGTTGAATAAAGCTCAGCGGAACTATTCCATTACGGAACTGGAGTGTTATGCTGCGATTTTAAGTATTAGTAAATTCCGACCATATGTGGAAGGCATGCCTTTTAAAGTAATCACGGATCATGCTAGTTTAAAGTGGCTCATGGGACAAAAAGATTTGTCAGGAAGATTGGCAAGGTGGAGTTTAAAATTGCAAGCTTTTGATTTCCAGATTGAGCATAGGAAAGGGGCACTGAACGTAGTCCCCGACGCGCTCTCGAGAACACATATGGACGAGATAGCTACAGAAGACCCGGCAGAAATCCAAGTGGATCTAAAGGCGGACGCATTCCAGTCAAAAGAGTACCGAGAGCTGGTTCTGGCAGTGGAGAGGCACGCAGAAAAGACACCAGACATTCAGGTTTCTGAAGGCTATGTGTACAAACGATTAGGCTTCCGGTCGGGAGAAGTAATTAACGAAGACCGAGCTTGGAAACTGTGGGTTCCGCTAGAGCTTAGGCAGGATATCGCCTTTCAAGCTCATCACGGCAAGACGGCAGGTCATGGAGGGATCCACAAAACACTGGAAAGAATTCGACAGTTTTATTACTGGCCCGGCATGACAGTCAGCGTACAAGAAATAATAAAGAATTGTGAAGTATGCAAAGTCAGCAAAACCGCCAACAAAACGAACCGACCCCCAATGGGCAAACAAATCATAACAGAACGCCCGGGGCAAAGATTATATATTGATTTCATGGGACCATACCCCAGAACAAAATCTGGAAACACCGTAATCTTTGTATGTCTAGATCATTTTACTAAGTTCGTTTGGTTAGAACCAATGCGGAAAGCTACAGCTGGAGGAGTCGTCAGCTTTCTGGAGAAGTCAATTTTTCATCAGTTTGGAGTGCCAGAGTTTATACAATCCGATAACGGCAAGCAGTTCGTCTCTCAGGTATTCGCAGAACTGCTCGAGCAACATGTAATTCGACACATACGAACTTCTATGCTCCACAAGCTAATGCAGCTGAAAGGGTAAACCGATCCATATTGCAAATGCTCCGCGCAACGACTGAGAAAGACCAGCGGAATTGGGACTCCCACTTAAGTCGAATAGCGTGTACTCTAAGAAGTGCCTATCATGAAGCGTTGGGATTGGAACCATACTATGCGATGTTTGGGACACGGATGGTCATGCACGCCAGTGCGTATGCGATAATGAGACGACTTGGCGGGGTCACAGCAACCGATCAAGTAGTGTGCTTAGCGGACAAGATGGTGTTAAGCCGAGATCGAGTGAATAAATGTTTAACCCGTGCACACGAGAAAGCGGAAAGGACATATAATACCCGCAGCAGAGAAGTCGAGTTTGCCGTAGGACAGGTAGTATACCGAAAAAACTATCGGCAAAGTAACCGAGCGGAAGGGTATAATGAATTAGGCAATGGAGTTGGCAAAAGTGTTGGTGTATACCATGCCAAAGACCTGTATATAGCCTGACCCCCTGAATGAAATCCAAAGAACCCACCCCAAATACGGCGAGCTTATCCGGCAGCCAGCGTGCCTGCTCAGGACGCAACTTCATCGGCCCAAGTCCTTCTCAGGACTGGGGCACTAATATGCCGACGTAACATACTCTACGAGTAACGGTTATATTAATATTATTTTGCACATTTCTGAATTTCAAATTAAATTTTAAATTATTGGATCACTATATCATATAGCTGCCATAGGAACGGTTGGAAATTGTAATAAAAAACAAAAGAGAACCCTATAGTCGAGTACTTCGACTATCAGTTTCCTGTTACTGAGCTAAAGGGTGTGCGAGGATGATGGAGATATGTAGTCGTCAGACTGATAGACAGACAGGCTATAATCTTTATGTTAAAAGCATTAGTAAGTGATTTGATGTAGCAGTTCTTCTCGCACATACCGTTCATGGGGCGTCCGCTGGGATAACTTCTCTGTGCTGCGCCATCCCAAGTACGGCTGCCGGTAAGAATTGCGCAACACGCCGCTACTGCTGGCTACGGACAAGAAGCTGCTATTAATAGGAGCTCCGCGGGCAAAACTTCCGCGCTGTGACACACTTGGCGACGTCTGAAAGGAGTTGAGGTGAGAGGTAGACCAGCGTGTGGCACCCACGCCCGTCTGCGCAGAAGCTGGGCCGTGTCCCTTCGTCGGTCCGCATGCATAGATGCTCTGGCCGCCGTGATGGCTGTGCGCCGAAGGACTCATCAGGAGAGGACTTCGGTCAAAGCGCTGCGATCCCAGTGAGCTGAGAGAGGTCGTCTTTGAGTTGAGCCCCTGCCAGCGTCCCGAATCCTGTGTGCGCATGCGGGTGAAGTGGCCAGGTCGGTATCCGCCGGAGTTTGACTTTGTGGTGACGTTGTCGCCATCTGCTACCTTTACGGTCTCTTTATTGTAATGACGAAACCAGTCCGGAATATTAAGCCTTTGAAGCGATGCCTGGACGCGCAGTTGGTGCTCACTCAAGACGGCTGGATTGTGATCGTGCGACTTCTGCAGTTCGTTTTCGGGGGGCTGTAAGCGATAAAAAAGCGTAAACGGTAATTATTATCCCGAGTTAGTATATAAAGATTTCTGTGCCCTTACAGCACTCTGTAATTGTTCCTGTTCAGATAAATAAAAGGAGTCGAGAAAGCCGATTTGCTTTTAAGAATAGTTTAACTGGTCTTTAAGTTTTACGGGGATATAGCTACCAGGGCCGAGAAAACGGCCCTTAGAGAAACAAAACAGTTTTGACGATAAGTAAGAAAAAAGGTAATAGTCGAGAACAGAACACCCCACAAATTACGATGGAAAGTGACTTAATAAGAATATACGGGCAGAACTGTTAAACTATTACCATAAATAAATTACATTCAAAATCTTGTATCCATAAATCTTTATACGATTTTCAATTTACTAGGCATTATCCGAAAAACCGGCCGCACAATGAACTGTGGGAAAAAAATGTTTTTTGGCATAAACTTTAGTTTTAAAGGTAGGGCCTTGAAAATTATACTCCTTATGCACAAATAGAATCTCGCTTTTTTCCTTTTTTTGGCGTGTAATAAAAGATCTTTTTTATAAATTTTATTCAGACGCATTTTCGCCTAGAGCACCAACAGGCAGAACGCTAGACTTTATAATTTGGTAGCCGTGAACCAAGACTTTTTGTAAAATTAGAGATAAAGGATACCATGTCAACTTTTTTAAATATAAATCAAAGGTTTCTCGACAGAAGTCTCTAAATTTTTCGGAGTCTATTTAAAATTCACATGACATAGCAATACAAATTATATGCAATTTTTTAAGAATTTGGACAATAATATTTAATATTAATGAAAGTAGCTCACAGTTTGCGAATGCTCGCCTTGCCGTGTTTCCTTCGTTATTGCTACCGCTTTCATTTTGCTTTGGAATTTCAACATTTAAGCCCATTTCATTCCCAAAGCCTTGCTTGAATATGTTTGTTTTGAATCAAACGCTTATTCTTATTGGAATTCTTATTGATGCGCCATATCAATTTGGTAAGACAGCTTTAGAACGAACTCTAAAAATCTTATCCAAACGTGTAAGGGACTAATACAAAACTTAAGATTTGAATTTTGAACTTTAAAAATGTTTGAATCTATGTCACTAGTATTCAATAGTTGCTTCGGCTTTCCATCGCAAATTGAGCAAGATTGACATGAATAGGTTCCAGTTAAAGTATTAAGTATAAAGGGTCATATAAGGTTCAAATGAGTTTATGGTAAATAAATTACTTACTACGGTTTCTCCATTTAAAAAATCATTTCCAATTTTTTTTTACTCTACGGCAAAAAACCTTAAAATTTAGAAAAATGTTCTTGAAAATATAAAAATAAAAGTATTTTTGCTTATAGACTAATTTTTTTAAAATATACCCATATATGGGTTAACTTTTGATAAGTACCTAAATCGCAATTTCTGTCCGAATATAAAAAATTATTTGTTTTTTTATACCCGTTACTCGTAGAGTAAAAGGGTATACTAGATTCGTGCAAAAGTATGTAACAGCTAGAAGGAAGCGTTTCCGACCCCATAAAGTATATATATTCTTGATCAGGGTCACTAGCCGAGTCGATCTAGCCATGTCCGTCTGTCCGTCTGTCCGTCTGTCTGTCTGTCTGTCTGTCTGTCTGTCTGTCTGTCTGTCTGTCTGTCTGTCCGTCTGTATGAACGCTGAGATCTCAGAAACTACAAAAGCTAGAAGGTTGAGATTTCCCACACATATTCTTTGGCTTCCTACGCAGCGCAAGTTTATTTTAGCCGAGCGCCACGCCCCCTCTAACGCCCACAATCGCCCACTAACGATTTTAAAATGGGTCCTGCGCCCACATCTTCAAAGATTTCCGAGAAGTATAAATGCAATTTTGTTGTGTATATTTATACCTATCGAAATGTAGAAGACATTTTTCAAATCGGACCATTCATTAAAAAGTTATACGCAATCAAAAATTATATATCTATCTCCCTCGCACTCCCTTTAGCTGAGTTACGATTATTAGTCGGGACACCAACCCGACACAGCGTTCGCACTCCCTTTAGCTGAGTGACGGGTATTAGATAGTCGGGACAACAACCCGACTATAGCGTTCTCTCTTGTTTTTTTATAAATAAATACGTTTTTTTGTATTGTTTATGGGCATGTGCTATTTTTAGGTAGTGAACTATTTTTCATGCTATTAATTCCTTAAAATTGATCGCTTTAAATTGAACATTTATGTCCATTTGTAGTATTTTTAAGTTCACAATGGCTTTAAATCACCATTTTAGGCCATGTTTCCTTAAATATAGGAATTTTTATACCCTTGCAGAGGGTATTATAATTTCAGTCAGATGTTTGCAACGCAATGAAGGAGACGTTTCCGACCACATAAAGTATATTGATCAGCATCAATAGCCGAGTCCATCTAGCCTTGTCCGTCTGTCCGTCTGTCAGTCTGTCCGTCTGTCCGTTTCTATGCGAACTAGTCCCTCAGTTATAAAGCTATCGAGATGAAACTTTCCCAAAAGTCTTCTTTCTATTGCAGGTAGTATATATGTCGGAACGAGCCGGATCGGACCACTATATCTTATGGCTCCCATAGGAATAATCAAAAAAATAATAGAAAAACTATTGTAACTTTGTAGAAAGTAGGCGTTTTGATTTTTGACTACTTAAAAACAACATTTTAAGTAGGTATACCTGCAAGGGTATATAAACTTCGGCTGGCCGAAGTTAACTTCCTTTCTTGTTTTTTTCTGAGTATAGTGTTTCCTCAGCTTTTAAGGTCACAGAAAACCATTCCAATAAAATTTCCCCCGAATAGCAAATCTCGGTGTCACAGACGTCATTTTTGACGGTTTCTAAATATCCCCTACTTTGCCGGACGTTTTGATAAAATTAACCAACAAATGTTTGTCAAAAGTAGAATTTTAAAATTTTTTATATTCAAATCATCTACAAAAATCCTTCGGCAAACCGTCCAACCTGACAGTGTAGTTGTCGAAATGTTGTGTAAACGAATTATTTATTCAAAGGTTTTTAGTATTGTAGTTGAAAATTAAACTTATTTCTGGTAAAAATATCATGTTAAAAAAAGTTGTAGTTATTGAAAAATTAATAAAATCATGCCGCCTTCGCAAAAAGATGGCAGCAAAGTCCACTATGGGGAAAAAGTATTTTTGGCATAAACTCTAGTTTTAAAGATAGAGCCTTGAAAATTGTAATATATACTCCTTATGCACAAATAGAATTTCGGTTTTTTCCATTTTTTGAAAATACCGTACGGTTGTAAATACACCACACACAGCCACCCGCCCACCACCACCCTATTATGGTCAACCCCCTACAAATGTTCAAAATATTTTTTTTTTATTAATAGAAAACATATTTATTAAGAAAAAAATATAAGATAGGATAAGGCTGTTTTTAAATAAGGTGTGTTTCAAAATTATACGACAGCAACACACTTATTTTTTGAAAATTTGTAGCGTTGTTGTTGTTTATAGAAAGCGAAACATTTAAATGCAGATCGAAAGAACATTGTATGAAGTGTACGAAAAAAAATACCACGCGTCCTTGATCCTCTTTTTAAGGACTTACCGCTAATTTTTTGAAATATAGTCTATTTTTCGGCTATGTGCGATCGTTTCATAATTATACGACACCATCAATTTTTTCCGGTTCCAATGATCAAACTTAACCAAAATTTTTTTTACTGGTTAAATATAAACTAAAAGGTTCCATTTTGAGAGTAATCCAGCCCAAAGGTCCTTTCGATGTTCAACTCATACATAAACATTAAATATGTCTCTCTACACCTTAAAAAAGTAGTTTTTCGAAGTCATATCCCACAATTCGTCTTAACTTTTGGCTGGTCAATATTCTTAACACTTTTGAATCAAATAAAAATCTTGTTCAGTTCATTACGTGCACGAAACAGACCTAAAAAATAATTTTTTTTAAGAATTAACCGTTTGGAACAAAACCTGTTTTATTTCAAAAATATTTGATTTTGGGCGATATTTCCTGTCAAAATGCAAAAATTTGTTCTTCAAAATCTTAATAAACTTTCCACATTTCACGATTTGAACATTTGAAACGAGATCCCCAGTCCGCGCCACTTTGAAGTTTTTTCCAAATTTTTTTCATACGAATTTGAGTGTTTTCTTCATGGGATTTCATTCAGGGTAAGCAGATTGGGGATCGTATTACAAATGTTCCAATCGTGAAATGTAGAAAGTTTATTAAGGTTTTGAGGAACAAATTTTTGAATTTTGACAGGAAGTATCGCCCAAAATCAAATATTTTTAGAATAAATCAGGTTTGTTCCAAAAGGGCAGTTCATAAAAAAAATTATTTTTAAGGTCTGTTTCGTGCACGTAATGAACTGAACAAGATTTTTATTTGATTCAAAAGTGTTAAGAATATTGACCAGCCAAAAGTTAAGTCGAATTGTGGGATATGACTTCGAAAAACTACTTTTTTAAGGTGTAGAGAGACATATTCAATATTTATGTATGAGTTTAACATTGAAAGGACCTTTGGGCTGGATTACTCTCAAAATGGAACCTTTTAGTTTATATTTAACCAGAAAAAAAATTTCGGTTAAGTTTGATCATTGGAACCGGAAAAAATCGATGGTGTCGTATAATTATGAAACGATCGCACATAGCCGAAAAATAGACTATATTTCAATAAATTTGCGGTAAGTCCCTAAAAAGAGGATCAAGGACGCGTGGTATTTTTTTTCGTACACATCATACATTGTTCTTTCGATCTGCATTTAAATGTTTCGCTTTCTATAAACAACAAAAACTCTTCAAATTTTCAAAAGAAAAGTGTGTTGGTGTCGCATAATTTTGAAACACACCTTTAAAATTGTTATTATCCTCCATCTTAAGCCTCTGAAAAAAAGCCAAAAAGTTAAAAATTTGGTGGTTTTTTTAAAAGGGGCAAAAACCGGCAAAAAGCAATATTAACACTTGTTTCTTTATTATTTTGTTAATACATTTCTATAACAACCTTA